CTCCACAGCCTCCCTGGGCAGCCTGGGCCAGGGCTCCGTCACCCTCAGAGGGAAGAAGTTCTTCTTCAGAAGCACTGAAGGAAACAAAACCTATTGAAGAGACGGCTTGAAGCTTGCACCTGATCCCACTGCATAAAGACATTACAGGGCCCTTCCAAGCAAGGAAAAAAAATTGAAGTGTTGCAAAAATCAAACAACAAAGTATTTCTACGCATTGGTGAAACAGAAAATAGCTCTGAGCACGTCACTTGATGACTCTTATTACAGAATCACAGAATGACAGCGGTTGGAAGGGACCTCTGTGGGTCATCCAGTCCAACCCCCTGCCGAAGCAGGGTCACCTGCACTGGGCAGCGCTGGGCTGTACTGAATTGTACTGGGGAGCACTGGGAAGCACTGAGCTGTACTGGGGAGCAAGGGGCTGTACTGGGCAGCACTGGGGAGGACTGAGCTGTACTGGGGAGCACTGAGCTGTACTGGGCAGCATTGGGCTCTACTGGGGAGCACTGGGCAGTACTGAGGTGTACTGGGGAGCACTGGGCAGCGCTGGGCTGTACTGAATTGTACTGGGGAGCACTGGGAAGCACTGAGCTGTACTGGGGAGCAAGGGGCTGTACTGGGCAGCACTGGGGAGGACTGAGCTGTACTGGGGAGCACTGAGCTGTACTGGGCAGCATTGGGCTCTACTGGGGAGCACTGGGCAGTACTGAGGTGTACTGGGGAGCACTGGGCAGCGCTGGGCTGTACTGAATTGTACTGGGGAGCACTGGGAAGCACTGAGCTGTACTGGGGAGCAAGGGGCTGTACTGGGCAGCACTGGGGAGGACTGAGCTGTACTGGGGAGCACTGAGCTGTACTGGGCAGCATTGGGCTCTACTGGGGAGCACTGGGCAGTACTGAGGTGTACTGGGGAGCACTGGGCAGCGCTGGGCTGTACTGAATTGTACTGGGGAGCACTGGGAAGCACTGAGCTGTACTGGGGAGCAAGGGGCTGTACTGGGCAGCACTGGGGAGGACTGAGCTGTACTGGGGAGCACTGAGCTGTACTGGGCAGCATTGGGCTCTACTGGGGAGCACTGGGCAGTACTGAGGTGTACTGGGGAGCACTGGGCAGCGCTGGGCTGTACTGAATTGTACTGGGGAGCACTGGGAAGCACTGAGCTGTACTGGGGAGCAAGGGGCTGTACTGGGCAGCACTGGGGAGGACTGAGCTGTACTGGGGAGCACTGAGCTGTACTGGGCAGCATTGGGCTCTACTGGGGAGCACTGGGCAGTACTGAGGTGTACTGGGGAGCACTGGGCAGCGCTGGGCTGTACTGAATTGTACTGGGGAGCACTGGGAAGCACTGAGCTGTACTGGGGAGCAAGGGGCTGTACTGGGCAGCACTGGGGAGGACTGAGCTGTACTGGGGAGCACTGAGCTGTACTGGGCAGCATTGGGCTCTACTGGGGAGCACTGGGCAGTACTGAGGTGTACTGGGGAGCACTGGGCAGCGCTGGGCTGTACTGAATTGTACTGGGGAGCACTGGGAAGCACTGAGCTGTACTGGGGAGCAAGGGGCTGTACTGGGCAGCACTGGGGAGGACTGAGCTGTACTGGGGAGCACTGAGCTGTACTGGGCAGCATTGGGCTCTACTGGGCAGCACTGAGCTCTGCTGAGCTGTACTGAGCTGTGCTGAGCTGTACTGGGGAGCACTGGTCTGTACAGGGGAGCGCTGGGCTGTACTGGGGAGCACTGGGCTGTACTGAGCTGTACTGGGGAGCACTGAGCTGTACTGGGCAGCACTGGGCTCTACTGGGGAGCACTGGGCAGCACTGAGCTCTGCTGAGCTGTACTGAGCTGTGCTGAGCTGTACTGGTCTGTACTGGGGAGCGCTGGTCTGTACTGGGGAGTGCTGGGCTGTACTGGGGAGCACTGGGCTGTACTG